AATCATTGGGGTACTTCATGGTGCATTCATTGAACCGTGTACAAGAATAAAAATAGATAAGGATAATAAAAAAAAAAAGGGCATGTTTGCAATAGTGTATACGAACTAATTTTGGCTAAACTAAGATAGATAGCAGCTTTAGACATTTGTTTAATTTTTCTTCATATGCGGCTATTGTTCACATGCTGGGTGGAGTTAGGCTCGGTTCAAATTACGTTGGATCAATATGTTTCTATTGTGTCTTACTGCTGATAGTCTACGTGTTATGTTATTAGAAAACAGTGTTTGCAACGTAGCTTTAACTACTTTGTTATCTGGCGAACCTGCTTGTACCAGAATGGTGCTTGAAAGTGATCATGAACACATATCTTCTTGGGGCATTTTCATCTGTAGATCAGTTATTCGAAAAACAAACAAACAGCAACATGATCATGGTAATGATAATCATTTGTTTTCCTTCATTGACACTAAATAAACGTCTTTCCACCTGATCTTTTTGTCATAGTTACCTTGTAAATAGTTAGAACACACAAAAAAAGCGCGAAGAAGGTCACGTTGCAACATTTAAACAACAGATATTGATCTGAACAAAGTACAAGAAAGAATTTTGACATATCGCTCTTCTGTTTGAAGGCAATAAAAAGCATAAGTTGTGACGTCATCCCAATGCCTCAGTACCTTTGTCTACAAAGCGTTAAAGTTAAGTCCTCAGCGGCTCGGCAATATTCGGCACGCAAGCGGAGGAAATGAGGGAGACTCGTGGGCAAAACCAATAAGAAATGTGCGTGTAAAGACTTCATCTTCTTATTACTGCTGCCGGTCGCGTCCGTATGCCATGAATATAAAGCAACTTCGTCGTATCGTTAGATCTGTCTTGGCGTTGCTTCAGTCCGTTACCTGATGTCATAACTGTACTGTAGAGTACGAAAAAGATCTTCAATGAAATTTATCTTGATGTAAATACTTAGGTCTAGATATATAGTGCCATCCTTCTCAGAACGAAGAGACCTGCACTTAGCCAATGTTTAGTGCCCCAAACCATACCATATGCACGAATTTTTACTGTATAGCATAGTATAATCATATTCACGGTTTTTCGTCAAGGCCGCTTTTGCTACCCTGGATCCAGCTATTTTAAGATACATTTGAATCCAGAGTATTTCAACCCAAACGACAGCCTATATATCATAAATAACGAACTGATGTAAAGTTGATATAATAGCTGGGAGAAACCATCTGAATACATGTAACACCCTTTGCGCTGTCAATGCTTTGATTTAAAACGACAACCGTGTTCACAATGGATAGCTTACTGAATGTATATGTTTTCTTATAAATACTAAAAAACATACACGTACGTCTGCATGCATCTAACGTGGCCAGAAGTGATGCCAATGCTTTCATCAGGTGGAAATGTTATCTAAGAAACTTCCACGGCACCAATTTTGGAAATGTTACAATTAGATATATACATATGTACTTTTTTTGTCGTAACGAAAGGTAGACTCATATAAATTTAGATTTTGAAGTTTGTTTCAGAAATTTAAAAATTAGATATTGAAGTTTGTTTTAATATAATAGCCATACACAAACAGAGGAATGTACTGGTATCTCGATCCTTAATAATAATGTTTGCAATAAATAATGTCGGAGATAAAGAAACTCAGGTCCCATTATACCTCTAAGTTTCACAAAAGTACCAAATGGGGTTATTGCATTGGCCCTTTTTATATCACGTTCGAATCAGGTGTAGAGTGGAATGCAATTAATATAGCCTCTTGATAAAAAATAACATTAAGCACGTTTTAGTGACATTAAAGATGATGAAGATGCTTATGCCGTCATCATATTGTTCGTGTACAGTAGTAACTGATCAAGTTGTATTTTGTAGTTGCTTTGGTCAGGAAGTTGCAGTGAAAAGATTCCCCTCACTCCTGCTTCCCTTCTCCATCCCCTTTTCTCTTCTTTGTCCTAGTAGAATTCCCAACTAACATTGGTCGGTCCTTGTATTGACACTTGCGGCATGGCGGAGGTGTTATTTCTGGTTACGTTTCTGTAATAAGTCTTCATTAGGGATCCATCAAATGCTGAAATATTCATACGACATGCAAAACGTTTCAAAATCTTTCATCCGACAAGATATAACATGGTCCCTTGTGTATTGGGGCATCCTGTGTGTAGATGTGTCCTCTATTTTTTTCACGTTCTTTCGTTGTCGTTTCGGCAATTCCTACTGGTGTGTATTGCAAAAAAAAGTTTTTTTTAAATAATAGTGGAAAAAAACATGTCCCGTATTTTGGATACAGTATCTTTCATTAATGTAGCTGGGAACAACATAGTTTTAATAGAAAAGCATTCGATATTGCGAATCTTAGTTTGGTGTCGAACACGCGGTCCCTTGATAGAAGGTTCTCAGAATGATAGATCTGTACACGCGGGTCTGCCTTGTTCTGATAACTTCCTGCTTCTTTTTCTTCTCAGTTTTGCAGCGCCAAAAATACAATCATTGCATCCAAAGGATGAAACCATAGTCTCTAACACGCCGCTGAATGAAAATATCTCTTTACGGTCATCTAGACACTGTCTTTAAAAGTATGGCGAACCCAGCAAGCGCATAATCTACCCCCTCTCCCCCTCCCCATTAGCTTCCAAGGCACACCTTTATAACCCTTCCTTCTCAAAAAAAGAAAAAAAAAGCGAAACAATATAAAATCAAGCATATTACTGTTTTACAGTTTTATCATCCTCTCACCCTTCCACAAAAGCATGTAAAAGCCTGGACCCATTTTCAAGAATACATTGGTATATCGTTCTCATACCTATTGGATACCACGAGAGATTTTGTGCAGTCACCGAGGGCAGTAGTTGCTTGGTGGGGACCATAGTGAATAGTGTTGCTAATTAGTAATTTAAAGAGCTCTTCAAAATTATGGGGCGGTGATACTCCGTTCTGAGTTAAACCGCCCATTTTTCTGTTCGCTTACTTTTTTTCATATGCCTACTCTTCACCAGAGGCTTTTCTAGTTATTTAGCAGTTAAATTTTCTGTCCGAATCAATTTGTAAGATCTCTGGAAGAGAGCATGTCTCACCCGAGTGCAGCAGGTCATGTGTTTGTCTTTTTTCTCTCTCATAATTATCATTTCCCCTAATTAAAAATTAAAATACAGGTATACACGGTAGAAAGCATTTTGGCATGCTCTATGAGGCAAAGATCATTGTTATAATACATCACAACAAGAGAAACGGCATTGTTCAAAGTATTCCATGCTCCCTCGGGTATTGGAGCCTTTTATAATGAGATCTGTAGATGTGCTGGCCCTTGTATATGGCGTGGTAGGCAGATGTACCATAAACATGATCATATTCAGTTCTACATCTAGGTACATCGCTAAAACACTGTTCTGTTTATTGAATAGAAAGAACAGGTCCCTTTCGATACTTACTATACGCACTTACAATCACACTATTTTAAGTCTCTGCTTTTGGGTATATAAAACTATAAATTTAATCCTGTAATAACAAGTGACTGTGACTCCTAATGCCAAGTTTTCGGATTTGAGACATAACTACATCATTTCATATAATTTTAGAGGGTGAATGACGATAAAATGAAAACATTTAAAAGCAAATATACAGATGTATGTAATTTGGTGTTATTTTTGGTTTATCTTTGTCACATGTTTCTGCTAAATTTTTGAGTTTGAAAACATCTGTGCTCGAAAAACTAATATATAATTAAATGTCGCCACTTTTCGCGTTGCATGTTTTGCAAAAACGCCGCTATCTACAATAAACTATTTACCGCTTCTGCGAGTTCACGACGTCAAAGTGACATACACAATTATTAATTCATCACTTTTAAAACAAGGTAGACTGAAAGCTTCGAATTACACTTCTACCGTTGCAGCCACTAGTGTGAAAAGCGCTCAGCTGACGACAACTGGCTTTTCAAAACTTGCTAAGTAGTTTTTCGAATTTATTGAAATTTAAATATTTAAAAAAGAAAATGGACCATCACCCAGGGCCATGGATCTATCCTGACTACCCAACCGACAAGTTGGTACTGTGTGAAAAAGGAACATTGGTCTATAATTCCGCCTTAACAAGTTATGGGCGGCAGCGATTGGAAGATGCAGGTATAATAATGCGTACAGGTCATCCATCGTGTAGTTTTGAATTGAACGTTAAGAGTTTTGAAAATGTTAATCTGGATATTGGAAAATCATCACTGTAATTATCCTTTTAAATGTGTCAAAGGGGTTACTCAGTTTACTTTAATGCAGTATTAAACGTGCTTCTCTGAAAGAATATGTTTCTTTTAAGGAAGATTCTCTCTCTCTCTCTCTCTTTCTCTCTCATTTCACTTTGTAGAAATTGAAAGCATTGAATATTTTCAAAATAGCACTGGGGATCTATTTTTTAACTTTTTCCTCATCTTGCCATTTTATGGTATATAAGAGGCCGAGAGATGAACTCTAGGCGCCTTCCAGGGTACGAAATAAAAGCTAAATATAGAAACTTTGGTAATAAAATCATTGACTCCGTTAAGGCGGTTAATGTCTACAAAAGTGATGTGTGTATTTTTTTTTAATTTAGATATAAAATATGCGCCATAATGGTCAGAACTGGTCAGATATTCTGTTTCTCCTTTAGCCTCCTGTTTAGGAATAATGGCCTTTGCTAGATTATGAAATATGCAGCTTGTGAAATTATAACTGAAATGTTGGGTCGTAACAGTCGACTCAATTCCATACCTTGTATAAGCACCGAAAATTTAATGTATAGTTTATGTGTTTAATTGCTCTTAAAGATTTTCTTTTAATCGAAATTGACAAAAACAACCTAATCTGAGAGTAAAATAATTTTTTTATCTATTTCCGTTTCAGAAAAAAAACTTTTATGTGGAATTTTACTTGGTTTTATGATAAAGGTCGCTATAGCCATTTCATCAATTATATTATTAAATAGCTGGTATATTTATATTTGTTTACAATTTCAGAGTACACACCTACGCCCCAGCCACCACCGAAGCAACATACTCGTAGATTACGAACAGCATACACCAATACACAGCTCCTAGAGCTCGAGAAGGAGTTTCATTTTAACAAGTACCTCTGTCGACCGAGGAGGATAGAGATCGCCGCCTCTCTCGATCTTACGGGTATGTTGATGTTAACTCTCATAATGTTCTTATTTGGTATATATAATCTTTAGCATCAACGTAGGAAAAATAGCCGTTTTTCTGATTTGTTCTATGTGGTGCAATAGTAACCGAAAAGTCGGCACCTCAGCAAAAGATCACCCGAGCCAAATTAAATGACAGACGCTCATGTGGATCAGTGCTGGTCTGATAGAATAGCGTCAATTTTTTAAGTCTTTAATGTTTTTTTCCAAAGACACGTTTATTAAACCGTGCAATACCAGCCCTCTGAACGAGAAATGTTGCGAGAATTTTTTTCTTTATTTTAACCACTATTCTTTATTTAATACAATAGCTCACATTATTTTTCCTATTCATCAGTAAAATTATAATTTATTTTTCTTATTTATCAGTAAAATGATAATGTACGTCTTTTAGTTCACTACCAATGATCTTTGTAATGATCCTCTGAATGTTAATCATATATGTTGAAATACCAAATAAATATAGTACGTGTGTTAAAACTTCAACCTTAAAATATTCACCAGAAAATGGTTGCGCGCCAGTTACTCAGACATTATATTATAAGTGTGGCCACACTGGTTGCGAGTTATACGGAAACTTTCCACTTTTGTCTGCATTTTTCTAGTCAGAACATTGCACCTTTGTCTTCTACCTGACTTAACGTTATGCAGTGACAATTGCATAATTTAATGCATCAATTATATTTATATACAAAACGCATTGTCGTTGCGGTTGTTAAATATAGGAATGCTGATTCTGGCAGCTGCGTCACATCCAAGAAGAAAAAATTACATCGAATAGTAATATGTCTTAAGATGGAGTTCTGATAAATGACACTTACCTAACGTTTTAATGCTTTGGACAAATACAATAATCGGGGTTTCGATTATTCAATCAACCAGACACTAATTGTCTGGAAATTCCTTAAGTAATTTCACAATCTGAATGATAATAACTAGGTATGCTTTTGTGACAGAGTTGAATTATTCCCTGTGTTAAGTTAGAAATGTTTAACTGCTGGTGCAGTTTGAGTATCATTAAAAATATCGCCACTAGGCAACTTATACTACTATGTATAATATGTTTGGTGTCAATGAACACATACCCATGCACACTTGAGCCTCTGAACAAATGCAAGCGTTAAAAACACTTAGTAATTTTATTAATTTTCCGATGATTTAATTTCCCCTATCTATCTATCTATCTATCTATCTATTTTTTATTTAGTTAAAAGCAACCGATGTCACATATCTCTTTATTTTAAGTCTTCTTGCTAGTTTTTGCATGTATTTTATCAAAGAGAATATTCAATCCGCACGCGTTTAGAATAACCCCTTCTCTTCAAATTCCATTCCATCATTTTTTTTCTTCTTTTTTGATAAAAAAATAACGCAGTACCTAGGATACGCTAATATAATGCCGATGGCAGCAATTTTCCCTTAAAGTCAATCACGGTTCGCCGCGCTATGTTCCTCCCTCTCTCACGTGTCACTGAATGTCGAAATGAGTGCGGTATATTTGACTTCACATGGGAAAGTTGCACATGTTAACCATGCTAAACTGAGTGTTGAATCAAGCGGGCACGCGGAGAGTGGATGTCATTAAACTGGTTCTCTTTCATTCAAGGTCAAATTTTACGCTTATGTGGGCTGAAGTAAAACGCGGGGGGGGGGGGGGTAGGTGTTTTTTTTTTTTTTTTTTGGGGGGGGGGGAGG